GAGCAGGGTGGGTGTACCGAAGGCCATAAACACAGCCTCCATGCCTGGTACACTTGCACGCTTTGCAACACGAGACTGGTCTGGTTAAAAACAATGCACTGAGCCACTCCAATGGATAGGTCAGAAGGAAAATAATTAATTCTCCATCTGACACTGAATGTGCTTGCCTACAAAATACAATCTATATTTTAATATTTTAAAACTACATTTTACAGTATATATTTGAGTACATCCTCCTCACTTGAAGGCACTATATTAAATGCAAAGATTATTATAATCTAAATACAGGCTGAAATTCAGGGGTTACGAACTGTTGGTTTTCAGGTTTTAGGCATGACTTGAACATTTTCTATCCAAAACCAAAGGTGAAATTCGTCCACATTGATGATCACTTCTGCAAATTGCATGCAGTAATTTGAGTTATGCCCAAAAAGTTGACATTGGATTTAATTTTGAATTGATCTTTTGGCTGGCTTCTTGGGTTGAATCCAACCACACCAATGGGATACAAATCTGCTTTATGAGCTGGCATGAGTATGCACACATGCACAGCGGTGGCATTGGACTTGGACCGCGAGAACATCAAAATGGCTGGCACGTCACAACCTGTCCTGTAAAGGTCCTCCCACTGCACTGAAGGCTTTCATAGAATCATAGAATTATACAACAACATTACAACAAGATTCCATTTATAAAGCGCCTTTCACGTCAGGAGGACGTCCCAAGGCGCTGCACAGTTGGGTCATGACCCGAGCAGGGGGGAAATGGTCAGGGTGAGGGGAGGGAAGGAGGGAGAGAGGAGGGGGGAAATGGTCAGGGTGAGGGGAGGGAAGGGAGGGAGCGAGGAGGGGGTAGAGAGTCGAGAGGGAGCTGAAGGCACGGTCAAAGAGAAAGGTCTTGAGACCGGCCTTGAAGGAGGAAAGGGAGGAGGCGGCGAAGTCACTGGGGGATAGAGTTCCAGAGCCTGGGGGCTGAGAGGCTGAAGGCCCGACCACCGATAGTAGGGCGGTTGGGCGGGGGACGTGGAGCAGACCGGAGCCAGAGGAATGGAGGGTACGGGCAGGTAGGTAGGGGATAGTAGGTTGGAGAGGTAGGAGGGAGCAAGGCCGTGAATGGCCTTGTAGGTGAGGATGAGGATCTTGAAATCAATCCTCTGGGGGATGGGGAGCCAGTGGAGGTGATCGAGGGTGGGAGTGATGTGGTCCCGAAGCCTGGGACAGTACACGAGCTGCAGAGTTCTGAATGACCTGCAGCTTGTGGAGGGAGGTGCCGGGAAGGCCGGCGAGGAGAGAGTTCCCATAGTCCAGCCTTGAGGTGACAAAGGCGTGGACCAGGGTTTCAGCAGCGTGAGGGGTGAGGTAGTGCCGTAGTCTGGCGATGTTCCGGAGGTGATGGAAGGCAGTGCCAGTTGTGGCGCGGATATGAGGGAGAAAGGAAAGCTCAGGGTCGAACAGAACGCCGAGGTTCCTGACTGGCTTTGAGAGGTGGAGAGTGCAGCCTTGGATGCTGATGGTGTCAGCACCTGAGGTGCGGAGGCGCTGACGTGAGCCAATTACATTTGTTTAGCGCGTTTCACATCGGGAGGACATCCCAAGGCGCTGGACAGACAGAGCTATGGACACAAGCTGAGGGTCAGGGTGGGGGAGAGGGGAGTTCAGGGGGGGGGGAAACGAGGGAAATCGAAAGGACAGTCAAAGAGGAGGGTCTTGAGGTGGGTCTTGAAGGTGGTGAGGGAGGGGCTGAGACGGAGGGCCTGCGGGATGGAGTTCCAGAAGGTGGGTGCAGAGTGGCGGAAGGCCCTCCCACCGATATTGGGGCGAGCGAGGCGGGGGACATAAACCAAGCCAGAGCCCGCTGAGCGGAGGGAGCGAACGGGGTTGTAGGGGCTTAAGAGGTCGGAGAGGTAGTGGGGAGCAAGACTGTGGAGGGCTTTGAAGGTGAGGACCAGGATCTTCAACTGTATCCTGGGTGATGGGAAGCCAATGGAGTTGGGCAAGGATGAGGGTAATAGGGTCGCGGGGCCTAGTGCAGGAGAGGACACGGGCTGCAGAGTTCTGAATGATCTGCAGTCTATGGAGGGAGGAGTTGGGGAGGCCGACAAGCAGTGAGTTTGCATAGTCGAGCCTCGATGTAGTGAAGGCGTGTATGAGGGTTTCGGGGGCCTGCGATGTGAGACAGTGTTGGAGCCGGGCGACGTTGTGGAGGTGGGGAAGGCAGAGCAGGTCATGGCACAGATGTGGGGTAGAAAGGATAGTTGAGGGTCAAACAAGACCCCAAGGTTGCGGACTGGCTGAGTAAGGTGGAGTGTGCAACCATGGATGTTGATGCTGTCAGTGCCTGAGGTCAGGAGGCGTTGACGGAAGCCAATGAGGAGAGCCTCGGACTTGTTGATGTTCAACTGAAGAAAGTTGGCTCTCATCCAGGACTTGATGTCTGACAGACATTCTGTCAGGACAGCAGTGGTCCTGGAGTCAAGGGTGGAGGCAGAGAGATAGAGTTGGGTGTCATCCACATACATGTGGAAGTTGACTCCATGTCTACGGATGATGTCACCAAGAGGGAGCATATAGATGTTGAAGAGGAGGGGACTCAGGACACAGCCCTGAGGAATGCCGCACGAGACGGTCCAGGGGCAAGAGGAGAAACCGTTTGAAGAGATGAAGTGCAGGCAGTGTGAGAGTACGATTTGAACCAGTCAAGGACAGCGCCGTGGAGGTTGAGGTGAGAGGAGGTGGATGAGGATAGAGTGGTCGATGGTGTCGAAAGCAACAGAGAGGTCAAGGAGGACGAGGAGGCAGAGGGAGCCCTGTCGTACATGGACAGAATGTCATTTGTCACTTTGACCAGGGCTATTTCTGTGCTGTGAGCGGCACGGAAACCTGATTGAAGGGGTTCGAGAAGGTAGTGGTGGGAGAGGAAGGAGCGAAGCTGAGAAGGAACAACTCGTTCCAAGACCTTGGAGAGGAAAGAGAAGTTGGAGATGGGGCATAGTTAGGGAGTAAAGAAGGGTCCATGGAGGGTTTTTTAAGGATAGGAGTGATGACAGCAGTTTTTAAAGGGGTGGGAACAATACCAGAGGACCGGGAGAGTTTAACCATGTCACTGAGTAGAGGGGCAAGGAGGTGGAGCTGGGAGGTAAGTAGTGGGGTAGAGATGGGGTTGAGGGAGCAGGTGGTGGGTTTCATACAGGTTATGGTTTGATGAGAAGGGGAGACGGGTTCAAAGGTGTGGAGGGAGGGATGGGTAGGGGCTGGGCGGGGAGGAGATGGGGAGAGGGTAGCAGATGCAGTGGCAGAGGCAGCTGAGCGGATTCCCTCGACTTTGGATTCGAGGAAGTCCAGCATCGCCTCACAGTTGGCATTTGAGGTGAGGATGGGTGAGACTTGAGAGGATGGGTGGAGGAGTCAGTTCGTGATGGAGAAGAGGAGCCTGGGGTTGTCCTTAGCCTCCAAGATTGTCTTGGGAGTAGAACAACGATATACAGCACAGGAGACCCTTCAGCCCATTGTGTCCATACCAGCTCTTGAAAGAGCTGTCCAAATTAATCCCACTCCCCCACTCTCCCCATAACCCTGCAAATTTGTCCTCTTCTAATATCTATACTTCTCTCTTGAAAGTTGTTATTGAAGCGGCTTCCACACAGAATATACTGTAAAGTGTAGTTTCTGTATATGTTGTGGGCAAAACTCGTCCGACAATTGCGCACAGCAGTATGCCATAAACAGTCGTGGATTGAATGACCAAATTTTTTTTTAAGGGATTATTATCCCCAGAAAACGATTCGCCAATTGACTAACAAGCAGGTTCTTACTTACTGCTAAGTAAACAGAGGCATGTTGTTATGTGCAGAGTAAGGAAACTTTGTCCAAGGTTTCACCCTGCCTGGGAATCAAATCCAGGTCCTTTCACTTGCAATTCACAAATGCAAATATATTCTCAGTTCAAACACAAAATATTGATTTCAATGAGGAGTTTCATGGCAAATGAATTCTTCACTGAATGGATCTTCCAAGTCTTAGAACAGAGGAGTCGAGTTAATTTTCTCTCATGAAAATGCCAATATTAATACTCACATAATGGGTCACTTGCAGTGTCCTAACAATCTCCATCAGTCCTCCTTCTGTCACTGGTATCAGTCCAGTTCTTGTCTTGCATGCATTGCTCACACAAGTATCATACTCTTATCTCTGTTAACTTGGGAGTAAATGACTTGCTGTTGTGGCTGATGATACCCATCTGCCTTTGAGGAACAGAAAGATATAGAGCATTTTGACCAAGAAACACATTTCTACCTTATAGGAAGACACCAATAAAACCATATATGAATTTAGAACTTCAGTCATTTTTTTAATGCTGGAGTATGGATTGTGCCAGGACAAAGCCTCTGAAAATAATAACATGGATTTTGACGAAGGGTCCTACCCAAAATATTAACCTATTTTTCCTCTTTCAGACACTGACAACTCACAAAATAGGCAACAGGCAAAAAGATGCACAACAATAAAATAAAAGCTGTCTTCACATACATCAATGCATCATTTACCAATTTGCCAGTCACAGACACTATTTACATTCGCTGCATTTTTATTGACAGTGTCCTTCATAAAAATAGCACAGATCTACTGGCAAGTAATAAGAATGCGTATTTCTTCACAGTACCGAGCATGTCTCAAGGCTCCATGATGCTCATTGCCTGCCTGCTGCCATCGAAGTTAATTTAGTTGTTCATTCTCTGCCTAGTTGAATACTTGGCTGCAACAGAGCATTTCCACTTACGTGAGGCGTATATAGACGGTGGGGGAAATGGGTGGGGGTAATATAACCCTGGATTCACTGCACCTAAATTCAAAACCAGGAAATCTCAAAGCTGTGCACTGAGAAATAATTCAATTTCTGTGAACAGTTGAGAAGGAAAACAAACTGCACCCCCCTCCATTAATACTTTAAGATTATTGACTGCCAGACATCCAATAAAATGAAAACAAATGCCAAGTAATTGTGTATTAATTGAAATGTAATTTTTTTTAAACAAAGTTTATACAATGTTGATAACACTGAGAACATAAGAGAGAAAAACGCATCTGTCGTCAAATTGCCCAGTCACATTGCAACCCCGCCCAAACTGGGCAAACCAGCGATCAAACAAGTTTGTTGGACAAAGCCAGTTAGATATTCCCAAATCTGTACATGTTTATTGTAATCCACAGAGACTCATTCGCTGTCCTATACAGGGGAGGGGACACAATTGATCAGAGTACAAAATCAGGATCTTTCAGTAATTAATATTAAAAGTCAAGACAGTTTTGAAATTCAAGCTTTTTTAGCCTCATTGTAAAACTGTATGTTTTAGGTTGAATTTCAACAATGTACATTAGTAAGAGTATACGAAAGAAACAACAGTGGATTGATTCGATGTTAACATTTGCAAAAAGAATTTCATAATTAATAATAATATTTAAAATGTTATGTGGCATTCTCCCCCCGCCTATGGCATCCACTGCATTGATAAGGCATAAAGCAAGCTTCTCTCTGCTGGGAGATTAAAGTCTGGACTTCAGCTGAGACATCAGCTTTTCAAGTTTGATGGCGAGAGTCATGTCACCTTTAATCTTCAGCTTCCCAGACATGAATGCCATGGTGGGTTTCAGTTTACCTGGAGCAGGGCGACAACAAAAGAGATGTCCAGTAAAATGAGAGGATAATGCAAGAAAAATGAACAGGAGCAAAGAGACAGACACCTGTGATCAAACTGGTCTGTCCTAACATGAAATAAACACATAAAATGCTCTCAATTCCCATATCCTTCATCCGCTTCTTTCGTAAATACCTCTATGCATTACCCTTTTGAATTTGCTGACACTTGCAACTCCACAATCCGCCACGGCAATCAATCATCACCCTTTATAATGCAGTGTCCAGATTCATTCAGCTAAAGCAACATTCTTAACAGTGCTGGAAACAAGAGCTCCCAAGCCACTTGTCAAACATCCAATCTGCCATCACTCTTCATCTGATGTTTAGAACAGGGTCAGAAGTATCTGGAATGAGTGTATGTGATATTTTTATTCCACTACAGATTGGATGTAAGAAGGATGCATCCTAATAAACCCACAGTGAAACAGGACATTTATATTTTTCTCACATTCACTTTCCTCTAGACCCAGCCCCTTTCCATCTCAGTGTGCTGTGCTGTTCCTGAGTGTCAACAGATCAGCTGGTCACTGAGCAGTACAAGAGAACAGCGCAGCCCCGATGGAAGTACCTCACCTGTGGTTGCCACCTCCCCCAAGGCACTTGGGAACAGACCTTGTGGGGTAAGGTAACAAGTCTCACCCCTCTTATTCCTCCTTGGCACTGACTGGATATTTGGGAAGTAAGGGCATTAAGAGATTGGAAACATTTTTATTTGGGAAATGATACTAAGACTCCTGTCATGATCTAATAAAATGTATAACAACAACATCAAAATTACATTTGTATAACAGTCTCAATGAGCTGAAGGGCCTCCAATGTTCCCATTATGTCAGTGTACCAACATCTCTGAGTCAATAGGCTACCTCTCAAAAGGATATGTGGCATTCCCCCTCATCCCACACCTTCCACCGCATTGATAATGGTAACTTGGAGGTACAAGAGAACAGGGCCTCTTACCCCTCTTACAAAAGCTGATTTTTTTCTTTTAATGACAACTTTCTCTTCCTCTCCTGGAAGAGTAAATTGCTTCCGTTGGGGGTGGGAGGGGGGTATGATTCTATACTCACCGGCTCAGTAAAAGACTAGTGTTTTGCACTTTGATAAATTGAAGCCGTTTCACTTCTTTTTTTAAATAAGAGCTGTGCTGAAAGGGTCTGTAACGGTTGTTAAGCAGCTTGATGGTTTGAATGGCCTCCTCCTACACATCCCACACAATCAGCAACTTGTGTGTTCTAGTTCTACAGGGTGACTACTGACCCCATCTCCCGCCACGAGAACTGCCGATAACTCACCTGCAAACATTTTCACAAAGTCTTCACTGGTCATGATCATCGATACGTCTGCCTTCCCTGGAGGGGCTCCATGCCCCAAGCTGCCGTTGGCGTTCTTCAGGTCAATGTACCATGTGCCTGGGTGTTCCCCTGGTTAGTCAATAGTAAAGTTGATATTCAGCAAAGATATTTTAATCGCAAGCACTCTTTGCATTTGATGATGTGCCTTATCATGTCATCGAGATGTCTCAAAGCGTGTACACTATACTGTAAAGTGAAGCGATTGTATTTTGTGGGTGAAATGTTATTAAAAAGCTCTTATGTTCTGCTCATCTGTTTGAGACATTAAACCGAGAACCTGTCTCTGCCGATACAGGTGGACGTTAAACATCATTAACACAGGGCTAGTCATTAGTGAGATCACCAAAGCCAGAGAAGAGAGTTTCTTCCAATGTCTTGACAAACAATCTCTCAAATAAAATGGGTTATTTACTTCATGTCTGTGGGACACTGTTGTGCACAAAATTGCCTATTGTGTTTACCTACAGTTGTTATCCTTTATAGTATATCGTGGAAGTGATCTTATACATCTCCCCACGTGAAAGACATTATATCCAGTATAAGGATTATTATATCGTTTATTATTATCACTCCAAGATGCAGAGAGAGTGTTCCAAGGCATAACTTTACGCTATCAAAAACAGTTCTCTATAAGAACCAAATTAGTAGCAGCACCCAGTGTGAATGGATGATTCTGAACCAACTTACCAGATAATTCAAATTGATACACCCCTTGAGTGCCTTTCACCACATCAGCATTGACAGCCTTCTCTAGAATTCTGAAAGTCTCTGCAACGGGTCCTTTGTCTGCTGCCGTTGCTGTCTGTGCTTTTCCTCCTCCAAAAGCAGGAACTCCACCTACAAAGCAAACAGATAAAATTTGAACAAATGTAATCGTCCAAGTTTAGGGCACTTTCGCTGAATGCTGACAAACCAAGAACTTAACAAGACTGACTGCCCCCACTCCACCCCCCCCACCCAAGCTGAAAATGCTCACCAAAATTCTGCATTTTCTTCACAAGTGCCTCAGGTTCCTCATCTAAAAAGAAATCTGGAAGCAGTGGGTGTCCTAGAACCAAATAGCACAGGTTACTCAAGTGACAGGAACTATTTACATCCAGTTATGTAAACAGTAGCTTTCCCCCAAAAGCCACCCAGTGTCTCTCCAGTGAGGAGCAACACCATATATCTCAGGGTTAATGTCGTTGTGTACGTACTGGAAAGTGTGTATAGTGGCTGTGTTGGTGACATATTGGAGGGTGTACAGTGCCCGTGCCCACTTGCTCATAATAATCCTTGCATTTGATATAGTGCCTTATCACGTCTTCGAGACGTCTCAAAGTGCTTCACAGAATATACTGTAAAGTGAATTGACTGTATATTTTGTGGGCAAAACGCAGCAGCCAATTGTTCACAGCGGTGTCCCACAAACAGTCGTGGTTTGAAGTGATCAATTTTTTAAATATATATATTTAAGGAATTATTATCCCCAGAAAAGCGATCCCCCAATCGACTAATAACCGGGTTCCTACTTCCTGCTAGGTAAACAGAGGCATGTGGAGTAAGGAAACTTGCCCAACATTTCGCCCTGCCGGGAATCAAACCCAGGTCTCTCTCTTGTGAAGTGAGTGCTCTAACCACTGAGCTACAGGACTCAACTCATGTACGGTGGAAAGAAAAAGGAATCCAACCACATTTCAGGAGAAGGTGGCAGAACATTTAAGGAGAAAGATTCCCTATAGACCTACAGCCATCCATATAACAGTAGGCAATCCTTCAACCCAATCTCTTAGTGTTGGTGAAACTGATGGAGAAAGTACCATACCTGGAGAGACCGCATAGACATCAAAGTCTTTGATTCCTTCCTGTTTGAGGATCTCTTCGTCAATGACAAAGTTTCCAGTAAATGTCTTCGGTTTTGAGAAAATGGCATACGCAGCATCAGCCATTATTTCTGGGTTTCTGCATTGGTTGCCCACCTCCGACCCTCCCAGCATAACCATCGCAGCCGTCTGAACCGCTGCAGGTTTCAGAAAAGAAACATTTTAATGATCACAAGATCTTCAAAAAAAGACTGAATATCTTGTTTGCAGTTCAACCAAGCTTTTGACCACCTTATAACACAACTTAGGTTTATAGAGCACCTTTCATGACAGAAAGTTGTCTCAAAGCACTTGACAATGCTGGCTGAGGACCAGGTTGACGTGGGAGGGGGGCGGGCGTGGAGAGGGTAAAGGTGGCCAAATGTGCGTATTTAGGTATTTAAATGGGTATTAAATAAAGGAGGGAGCGAGTGGGGAGGCACTGGATGGAAGTCCAGAGAGAGCTGAAAAATAGCTGAAAGCTCGCCTGCTAATTGTAGTGTAGATAGGGTGGGGACATGAAGTGGGCATGGTGGTGATGAGCAAAGGGAGTGGCCTGGTTGGTTTAGTTGAAGGTGGTTACAGAGGTAGGGTGGGGCGAGACTTTGTAAGGTGAGAATGAGGATCTTGAACTTGATCCCCTGGGGAATGGGGAAGCAATGGACTCAAGCGAGATGGGGGGTGGGTAGGTGATAGGCTCACTGAGCTTGGTGCCAGAGGCGACACAGGCTGCAGAGTTGTGGATAGTCAGCAGCTTGTGTAGTGAAAACCTGGGGAATCTGGTGAGCAGAACATTGAAGTAAACAAGCCTGAAACAAGTAATGAAAGCTTATTTCTCCCCCTCCCCCAGCTCCCCCTTCTCAGCCCCCCTCCACCTCCCCCTCAGCCCCCCCATCCCCTCCTCAGTTCAAGCTCCCAGTTGTTTGAAGAAGCTCTTTGCAACTCCCATCCCCCATTGTAAAAGGGACCATATAAATGTAAATTGCTCTTATAGTAATTTCAACAGCAGGAGGTAGTGTGGCTGAGTGCTGCTTTTAGAATGAAGTGAATTAAAGATTTTACTGCTGGTTTTACTAACCGAGACGGGCTTGGTTCAATGTCCACTTGGTTAATGAACAGCCTGTCTCATGTTGAATTTGCATTAAAAAATCGAACAACAAGCTGTTTTTTAAGCATTGAAAGGAAACAGATGAAGTCTTTTACAAAAACCAGTTTACTTTAGAAATCAATCCCATTACCAAACTCCCACTGCTGTAACAGTAGCATTAACAGTACTAATAAATTTGGCTAACATCATTTTTGTCTTGAATTTGATAGTGTCTCATCATGTCGTTGAGATGTCTCAAAGAGCTTCATAGGATAGACCGTAAAGTGGATTGATTTGGTATTTTGTGGGCAAAACATGGCAGCCAATTGCGCACAACAATGTCCCACAAACAGCCATGATACAATTTTGATGAATGACCAATTTTATTAAGGGGATTGTTGGCCAGAACACCGGGAGAGATAACTCCCTTTTCTTTTCGAACAGTGGGTGTCAAGGGATATGGGGTAAGGGTGGGAATTGGAGTTAAAGTATAGATTAGCCATGATCTTACAGAATGGTGGAACAGACTCGAGGGGCTGAATGGCCTACTCCTGTTCCTAATGCCATGGGATCTTTAGACCCACCTGAACAGGAAGAAGGGACCTCGGTTTAATGTGTCGTAATACAGAGTGCGCTCACCGGTCTTTGGCCACAAAGCATTTACTGCAATTTCGCCTTTGAATTCTTCTGCCATGCCCAGGACGCACATCGACATTCCGTATTTAGCCATGGTGTAAGCTGCAGACACAAAACCGAGAACATTACAGAGCTGCTGCTCAGCTCAGCCTCCTTTACCCTCAGAACAGCACACAATAGTAAAACTCTCTTTTACCTCATTTAACATGACCCTGTGTGACGTGGGGGTGGGGGGAATAGGAAGAAAGAAGATGCTGTGTGCTGGGATTTGAAAGTGGGGACAAGAATCTTGAATTCTTTGTATAAAACAGGACAGGGTCACCAACACCATCAAAATTAATGCACTTGGCTAAGCGTTTTTGATATCTGGACAAACACAAAACAAGGTTAATGGTGTGGAAATACAACTCTGAGGGGAAGAAAAATTATCCAGGGCTTGTTTCTGTCCCAAAGGCAGCATCACTCTTAACATAAATCAATTTGCCAGTGTGTAAAAAGGCCGACAATTGAGCAATCAATACAGCATTGTATCTACTGATATACAGTGTACAGAGATCGTAACTGAGCACACAGATGAGTCTTTCGCTCACCACAGTGGTTCTTGAACCAGATTGGATTCATGTTGAGTGGAGGACTGAGGTTCAGAATGTGTCCATTTTTGCTTTTTTTCAGGTATGGAATACACAATTTCGACCTAATGAGGGCAGAGCAAGAAACAAAGTGAGGTACAATATAAGAGAACAAATCTAATTTAAACATGCTCCACTTATAGATTTTAAAAAAAGGCAAAGTGTAAATTTGCACAATCAAAACACTTAGGGTTAGGGCTGTCTGTAATCCCTGAAGCGCAGGGAGTCAATCATTCCCTGAAGACCTTACAATACATGGCTGCAAAGTGGATACGTGCTGGTATGGGAGTGAGTCAAACTACGGATGGTCCCCAGTTCAATCCTGGGCTGATGTTAGCTTTACTATCCTCAGGTTAGGGAGGGGAGAATCAGACAGGTTTCCAGCTGGAAAGTGCGTGCATGGACTGTACATGAAGACAGGAGTGGATGTCATTCGGTTTAATAGAATCTCCTCACACACTGGTGCTGTAAAAGCTTTTAATTTGAGGCTGTGCATTAATGTGATTTCTATCCAGCAGAATAGTCCTGCGCATTTGCAAGGATGTGAAGACAGTTGGTCAAACACATCTTATAAATCTGCTGTCTATTTGCCTATTCTTTTTTTCTCAAGCTATGAACCATTTCCAGGCTTGAGTGTGTGATGGGAAGCCTGGCCCCAGGCCTATACTGATGTCTCTGGGACATCAAATGTCCTCCTCGTCGGTCTCCCCAGCTCCACTATCCACAAAAGCAAACTAATCCAACATCTACCGGCCGCATACTCACCTGCTCTAAACTGCGTACCCCCATCACACCAGTTCTACCAAGCTTTCCCTTTCACCATGCTTACGGTCACCTTCCCCATGATCGTGCTCCGCCACTGTTAAGCACTCTGGGATGCTACACTATATAAATGCAAGTTGTTGTTGTCACCGTGTAACCCACTTTTGGTTAGTGTAGAGGATAGATTTCCTTCCCCAATGTGGGAGCACACACCACACTGAGCCATGGTCAATACTGGGACTGACCATGGACTGTAGCACTGGAGAATCACTGATAAGAGGGCCTCAGCAAAAGAAAGAAAACAACTAATTTTTGTAGTGCCTCATCACAGGAGTTTTAGAGTAACTACACTCAAGCGTAGTGGCCCTTTTTGCATGCAAACACAACAGCAAAAGGGTTAGGGCTGTAATCAGATTTTACGAGAATGCCACTGAATTATCCCACAACGTATGTGAACATAAACTATCGACCACTCCAGAAATATTGTATTTCTTGCTGTGTACAGTAGACTCTGGATATTCATAAATATTTTACATCTTAACAATATATTGATCAGTTGTGCTTCAGTGGCGTCTTGCAGCACTAGTACATTTGAAATACACTTAGATATGTTTCCCTGTGTCAAGCAGTAATATCTCAATGCAAACTTGCCCCTCAAACTTTCACACAGTCCAAACCCTTCAAAGCAACAGGTCAGAAACCCTTTGGTTTGAGAACAGTCACCCCACATGACAAGTTCATTATATAACTGATCCAAATTACTTCAATTTCTCACAGAAACGTGGAGAGGAAAAGAAAGCCTGCCTGACACTCACACAGGAACAGGAGCTGTGGCTGAGCATGTTATAAAACTGCCTTTGAGAATAACGCTCATTCTGTATAAGGCAAACAAAATTTAATCATACCACCTTGGGCTGGGCTACTTAGTCGATAGTTGACCAGAAGGTTAAGATTTAATTTAACATTTTCAAACAGTTAAGCCTTCTGCGATTTCTGTGTGGTTTTATTCAACTGAAACTTTCAACTTTGCACAATATCAAGAAGTTCTCATTCCATCACAAGGTGGAAGCACTGCACTGTAATGCATCACACACGCATACACACACACACACAGCACTGTAGTGCATCTCACACACACACAGCACTGTAGTACATCACAAATACACACGCAGCACTGTAGTGCATCACATATACACATATATGTGGAGTCCTGTAGCTCAGTGGTTAGAGCACTCGCTTTGCAAGCGAGAGACCTGAGTTCAATTCCAGGCAGGGCGAAACCTTGGGCAAGTTTCCTTACTCCACACAGAGCCTAATAATAATCCCTCCAAAACCCAAAACAATAATAAATTGGTTATTTTCAATCTACGGCTGTTTGTGGGACATTGCTGTGCGCAATTGGCTGCCGCGTTCGCCCACAAATATACAGTCAATTCACTTTACAGTGTGTTCTGTGAAGCGCTTTGGGACGTCCTCCCAACGTGAAAAGCGCTATATCAAATGCAAGGATTATTATTATTATACAGCACTGTAGTGCATCACACACAGCACTGTAGTGCATCACACACACACACACACAGCACTGTAGTGCATCACACACACACAGCACTGTAGTGCATCACACACACAGCACTGTGGTGCATCACACACACACAGCACTGTGGTGCATCACACACACACACAGCACTGTAGTGCATCACACACACACACAGCACTGTAGTGCATCACACACACACAGCACTGTAGTGCATCACACACACACACACACAGCACTGTAGTGCATCACACACACAGCTCTGCAGTGCATCACACACACACATACAGCACTGTAGTGCATCTCACACACACACACACTGTAGTGCATCTCACACACACACAGCACTGTAGTGCATCACACACACACAGCACTGTAGTGCATCACACACACACAGCACTGTAGTGCATCACACACACACAGCACTGTAGTGCATCACACACACACAGCACTGTAGTGCATCACACACACACAGCACTGTAGTGCATCACACACACAGCACTGTAGTGCATTACACAGCACATAGTGCATCACACACACAACACAAACACAACACTGTTGTGCATCACACACACACTCCACACAAACACAAGCCACGGACCTTCTTAGACTGCACCCCTATGTTCATCAGAGGTCGACTTGCTTTTAAATGGCCTTCCATCTCCATATTACTCGATGGGCTTTGCTAACTCCCCAGATTACACATTTTCCCTAAATCAGTCTTTATGCAGTCAGGCTTCAGAAACAGCTTAATCCTCCATTGTTAAAGTTTGGCATAAACACAGAAGTCGCTGGGAACACTCAGCAGGTCAGGCAACGTCCATGGAGAGAGGAAAATGAGTTAATGTTTCAGACCAATGACCTTTTGTCAGAACTCAATGCCTTTTAACTTCATGCTGCCTGACCTACTGTGTGTTCCCAGCAACTTCTGTGTTTAAACCAGATTTTCAGCATCTGCAGTACTTCGCCTTTTGTTTATTGTCAAAGCTTCTCTCACTGCACCACCAGAGGGAGCAGGGCCTTAAATAGCAGGCTTGGAAATATCCTCCAAGTTGCAGTCTCATCCACAACAAAATTGTACCTCTTCACAAAGGGGATGGCGGGCAAGCGAGCGGCCAGAGCACTTGAGAATTGTAAAGCGAGCAAAAAATAAAATGATGGACGGCACTGAGCCATGCAGACCAGGTTCAATTCTGAGCTTGTTACATGGCCTCAGTTAGGGCAGCAGTAAGACACGAAAGTTGGCCTTCACAATCCTTGGCCAGGGAGTGAGGTAGGAGGCAGCAATCAGCCAGGGTGCCTGATCCTAATTGTTACCAGCAATTTCTGTAGGAAAGTGCATTCACGTGAAAAATGCCCAACGAAAACCTAGGTAGACACAGTACTCGCACAAAGAAAACTTCTCACCTGCCAAATATAGTGTTACACTTAATGGCAGCCAAGTAAATACCCATACTGTATTCACATGGCAGTCAAAGACATTATTACTATTAGAATATGATAACCTGAAGGAGGGGAATAGAGGTGAGCTTCTTGGTACGGGCTGGCTATTCTGGGGTGGCAGCAGTATTGGAAACTAGGCTCTGACATCTGAAACAGCCAACAGAGGAGACAGGATTGCTGCATAAAGGGACTGTAAATGGGTTCAGTCGCTGGTGTTACAAAAAGTTCTGTGTTCTAAGTAAAACGTCTTCATAGGTTTGCGATGAGAGTTTGGGGGAAGGGGTGAAGCATACACCTAAGCTCTTTGCAGCTGTATTTAGAACATTCTCAGTGAAGCCAACAAAATGCTAAACATCTGCAGAAAAAGCACAGGAGCACATTCAGATATTCTGTGAGGCTCAAGGACCCGATGGTGGCCCAAAAAAAAACACTGGCAGGCCGTGGGTGTGTGGGGAAGGAAAAGAGGCCATGTTTTGGGTGAAGCTTCCATGTTCGATGTTACACAGCACTTCTCTCCAGCATGTTACGTATCACCTACACACCTACTCTGGGAGGCATTTCTTTTATGTTCAATTGTAAATTTAAGAGGCTTTTTTTAATACATAGATGCAGAGCACGCCCTTTAACCAACACCCACACCAACACCCACACCAACACACACACCCACCACACTACACACACAAACTCACCTCACCCCCACACATCACAGTAGGTGTGCACCAGAAATTTGAAAGAAAAACATTGAATCCCATTATTAAATGTGATCAGTATAATAAAGTGTTCAGCCAGCAACAGGTCCTCCTGGGCTGTTTGCGCTGCTCTGGCTCATCTGTCACCAGGTTATATTGATGAGCTGCTCATGTTGGCTACTCTAGCACACGTTGCCAGGGAAACGTTACACAGCTGCTCGGAAGCAGCGCTTGGACCACAATTGTCAAACACACCAGAATGACGCACTTCCAAAACCATTAACTTGTCAACAGTGAATGATCGCTGCTTTTCGCACATTTTAAACCACACACTACATTGCTGAGGCTATATACCTACTTAATTCTTCCCTCAATGTTCCCCGCACCCCCAACATGTACCAACCAGTGGGTGGAGGGGATAGAGGTAACCAACTCCAAGGTTTCCATCAGCACACTGTAGGTGTCCAGCACAAGCGCAGTGAAAGTTACCTTTCCTGTTTTATCTAATATTATTTGTCACACATGCTCGCTCGCAGCCACATACTTGTGCTCATGTCCACACGCATGTGCCAAAGCGACGCACAGCACCTAATCCTTATGCATCAGACCTGATTTTCAGTAGCCAGCTTTGCTACAA